ACTTTACTGCTTTCTGCATCAGTTATTTTGCAAATTGAATTTTGTTTGTCGTTTGACATACATAGTGTTACTGATTTGGAATCGTTATTATTACCATCAGAATGTTTTATTAATTTCAGCTCTTTTGTGTCTTCATTAATTTTTTGTGACTCGGAAAGATTTGTACATATTGTTTCCCTAATTTATTGTAAATATAAAATATAATAAATACATAAAATATAAATATAAAATATAAAAAAGATATTAAAGTAATATATTAATAATAATTAAGTTACAATTTTTTATATTTACTGTACGATATCTTTGGTATTGTTCTCTGATGTATTTGATTGATCTTTATGCTCCTTGTTTATACAAAATTCAGCCTCCAGCTTTGCTGTTACAATACTTTCCACAATACTTAACATATCTTCTTCATTCTTTTGATCAGCCAGGTTATCAACATTTGAAAATAAATTGGCTGTATCTATATCTTTGTTCCAAATATTCTCATCTTTTTCTGGCATTGTATCATTAAATAAATCTGTTTTAAGCATATTGTTTATTGAAGAATATTTATCAAGTTCTTTAACCGCATGTATCTTGATAGTTTCAGCCAGTTCTGAAACTTTATCTTCTATTTTCTTTTCCTCATCTTGATCTTGTACTTGCTTATAGACAACAGCTTTTATCTTGTCGCTGTAATAAAAAATCAATGTAAAAATAATTTTAAAGCACAATATAGACATAACGTTACAAAATGTACCTTTAATCCATCTCCTTATATATCAGCTAGTAAAAATTTAGATAAAAATATGTATGTATATTAATATAAATTATAGAAAATGTGCATAGACTATTTCAGAGTTTTATAGATGGTATGTTAAAAGTTTAGTGTGATAAATATAGAGAAAATTTTATTTATTAACATTTCTTAAGCCTAATTTGTATTAACTCAAATGCTCCAATGCCATACGCCAATATTTATAGCTAAAAAAAGTAACATTCTGAAATATCCTGAATGTATAATAGATGTATATAAATATATTATACAGTATATAATTTATATAATGCAAAACAAAAGTTACTTTTTCTATTATATTGTACAAGATTGTTTATTAACAATATTGCAATTGGAATAGATTCTAACAGAAGATTAACATAAAAAATCAAATTATTAATAATTTAATTGAAAAAAAAACATTAAAAAATCTTATGAAAAGACAAAACTATATGTTAATATACAACACAAAAATATGTTCTAAAACAAAGAAAAAAGGGTTAAAACATACGGATTTGCTGAATAAGATGTATTTTTCAGCCATTGCATATTATGTAGCTTGTTGAGTGTTGCTTTCCGCTCTATGTCGGAAGTCTTTTCTAAATTTTCAACAGCATAATCCATTATACCTATCACAAATATATTCATAAGACTAAATATTACGCAATGCTTAAATTTATATTTTTTTAAATGTTAATTAATATTTTTTAAATGTAAATTAATATTTTTTACAAATTGTGCTTAAAAAATATTTTAGTAGTTATATTTAGGTTATGTAAAGATAGCTTGTAATAATGAAGCAAAAATTGTTAATTATTTCAGTCTATATTATTTTCAATCGCAGCTTTCAATTATTCATTCATATTTCTCATAATTCAGTTTGTTCAAGATAGTTTCTAGAAAATTTAATATAAAAAGTAACCCAGAATTTTTATATAATATTAGAGAGAAAACAAATTCTATTATAAATATGGCATTTATCAGCATCTATGATTTAGAATTGAATTTAGATATTGAATAAGAATTGGAAGAAAAAAATAAGTTAAAAAATAAGGCCAAAGGATACACAAAAATACTGTTAGTATGATAGCAAAGCAAGGAAAATAAAAACAAGAGAACCAAATAATATTAAACCAGTCACCTCTTCCGAGGAATGAAAACAAACAAATTCTGAAAACTTTCTGCCAAGCCCTTATAACTGACCTACTTTTTACACAGACACTCGTATAATCAGCTCCCCCAATGTTGTTTTCCCAACGTAAACATAAACAGGTAATATTATCGTTCCACATGCACATAGACTACCCGATATTTGCAAATTTCGAAAATGATAGAATTTACGTTACACAATGCAAACCGATGTGCCGAGGACATGAAATTGTAGACCAAAGTGATTACAACGCGAGAATAATCTCTCTTACCTTGCCAGCTTGCAATATTCACCGAGACGATTGAGATGATCCAACGTCGAATTACACAGCGCCCAATAGAACCGGAAAGAATGTTGCCCCTGCCCTGATACAGATACAGACGATACGGACGCCATAAACAGAATTGCCGTAAGAAAATTTCAAAAATTCCTCTGTTAGTTACCTCGTTATTTACCAAGTGCGCTGATTGGCTGCCGAAGAGGGGAATCTTCTTTCCGTAGAGTTTTTCATCGGTAAGTAAAGTCTGCACACAATGCGACTTTTTTCGTTCTAGATCGCATGCGTAAATTGCTGGAAATTCTGCGTGCTGTGTGGTGTAATTCTCTATGGCTAAACAGTAACTGAATGTGATTGGTTGAATCTAATTCTAGTCAAAAGCAAAAACCAATTACATTTGACGTTGCTGCTGTGAGTGATATAAATACAGACTGCCCTGTGCTAGTTTCTTTTCGTTTTTCGTAGTTGGCGACGCGACTTTGTCGTTGACAATTTGTGGACGTCGTGTCATCGATGTTGCCGTGACAAATGCCGGTTGAGATAATTGCCGATATGTGTTCGTAACTAATTTGGCAGTACAATTTTTTTCTTAACAGAATTTTGTAAGATTTTTATGTACACAATTTTATTACATCTCGAATACATGTGAAACGTAAATGTTCTGTGCTCCGAACATGAATTTGTGACATATTTCAACGAAATTCATCCAGACCAGATTTTCGTAAGTTTCTAAAGGTTAAGAGGTCTATTCTGTAACTCTTGTAACGACTGTAACTACAGTTACATTAATTAAGAATTGCAAAATAAGTCTCTTAATATAATAAATTACAGTCTTTATCGGAATATCATCAATGAACGATTAAGTGATTGTATCGCTATTTTTTTAATTATTTATTTTATTTGTTTAATTTATTTTATTTGTTTTTGATTAAACAGAAACAGGTGCTTGAAAATTGTTGAAATTAATGGCTGTTACTTTCTATCAATTGAAAATGAAAATGGAACACTACTCTGCAAAAGAAATTTGTTGTCATTAGTGTGGTGCAGAATGAATATATATTTATAAATTTGTAGAAATGCATATTGAATAATTGAAAATCTAATTAATTCAGTGATATTGTTCAGAAAATTATAATCTTGATAGCCATTTCTATATGAAAGAAATTTTTCGAAAGTAAAGTACTCCTCCATTAATTCAGATGATCACTTTGAAAATATATCAATCATTTAATCAGACAAATTGTTGGTTTTTTAAATAATACTTATTGTTATATATATTTTATACTAATGAAAATGACGAGTTTTTTTTTCTATAGTTTGGTGTTTAATTTATTTCATTCTATACACTCATTAAACAATTTGTTCAAACAAAATAATAGCTATTTAGTTTCAATAAATCTCTTGATGATCACATTATGTATTGTCTTTTGTTTATGATTAATTGCCTTATTTTTAAAATATTATATAAATTTATGTTAAGAATATTTACCTTAACTGATTTTAATTTTTACTAAGAAACAAAAGTATATATCAACATGACACAAATATTTCAGTAAAATAGTTGATTTGGAGAATGGACAACTCAACAATATTATATTATAGATGATATACATATTAATGTGGTTAATATATATATATAGATATATCAATATTATACTATTATACTATATTATACTATATTATACTATATTATATCAATATGTATAATATAATATTATATATTAGATAACATAGAATTAGTACATGAATGAAATGATATGGATAATCAAGACCTCAGTATCTTTAATGAAATCTATACAAGAGTTTTATATAATAAAAGGGCATTTAATTGTTTTTTAATTAAAATTCATAAATATTAAAATACAATAATAGTATCACATGAATGCTTTAAATTTTATAATGCCAAACTGTTCTCTTATGTATACTGTTAATGGAAACATTTTTGCCTAAACAAACTATACTTTTATTAATTATACTTTCATTAAATAATTATAGGAAAATATAGACTTAAAATAAAGAAAATTTTTTTTCAAAATAAAATGACAATTAATAAGCACATTTACTTATCTATGTATTAGTTTAATTCTTACAATTAAGTTTTTTTTACATCTTATGCAATTTAATGCACTTTTCACAAGTGTGTATAATTCTACAAATTATTATAGATTATACTTGTAACAATTTTTTTTTTTTAAACGAGTCATTTAATTAGTACATTTTTTTAAATATGTTCAAAAGTATACTTTTCTAACTTTTTTTTTCAAAATATTGAATTTCGTAAAGGAGTAGACATGATACTTGCTAGAATTATTGTATAAGAGGAAAATATCGTTAATAAAAGTATTATTTGAGACAATGAATAGTTGGCATAAAGCCTTTCCTCTTCATTAATATTGGAGATCAAGGGTTAATCTTGAAGCAATTGATAATATTTTTGGTATGCAAAATTGAACACGTGTCCTTTAAATTATTGGACTAAATGTTTGGATAATTGTGTTGTATGTAACGCTTCAAATTGAGTCGATTGCGACTATTGAAATATTGTACGATAAATAGCTGGCACGTGACTTAAACAAGGCCTTAATCGCTTCAATGCATGAGAGGATGCAACACTACGATTAGATTACATGTATCGTCAGAGGATACTGCTTATTTTTTATATTAATATTTTTTATATTAGAAAACGACTACTGTAAGGGAAACATATTTGTATATTCTAGAAGATTTAATATAGAGGCAGGTCAAGGTTGCATTCGCTTTCGAATAGACTGACGCCTGTTTGGAGAACCTTTTCCTATTAAGACAATCTGATAAAAACAATTCAATGGGCTTCTTACGGATAAACGATGTTTCACGAAGAATATTACGAGACGAGATTACATGTATACGATGCTCGAATGCCTCATAATAAATTTTGGTCTTTAATCAGGAAGTGAAATTTAATTCAGGTAAAATATAATTTAATTCAGGTAAAATATTACGCCTGTGTACATGTATATGTGTACGTGTGAAAATGAATGAGATTTATGTGCATTGCATAATTACAGTCGATGTAGAAACGTTGAAGGCTAATACTTGTGTTCATTAACCAGTGTAATCTACATAAGTTTTTTGTTATCTGGAAAGTTTTTTGTTATCACATACAGTTTGATAGTCAGTGGTTAATCTGGTCAGCCTTGAAACTTTTTAAACTCTTATAGAAGAAAAGCCTGAGTTCCTAATTTATAACTTTTATCTATGTTTTTTTATCGAACAATTTTATATCACAATAAATACCTTAAAATAAAATAAATAAATAAAATAAATGTTAATTAGCTTGTTTTCATAGAAAATTATAACAAATTAAATCAAAGTTAATGCAAATTTATAAAAATAAACATAAAAATAAACACAATATTAAATTTAGTCGTTCTTGCAGTTTTTAGCATATTATATTTCTTATCTCTAATTCTTCATAACAATACTATACACAGAAAAAAATGGTTGAATTACTAACTGGAATTCTGATGGAAAATGAATGATCCAGAATTTTTGTTAAATCTATTAGATTTCTAATTAAATCTACTAAATATTGGTTATTTTATCTAGAATTTTAATAGATTTAACCAGAAAATTTAAAATTTCTGGTAATTTCTGGAAATTTCTTGTAAATTTAACTAGAATTCTAGATCGTTCATTTTTCACCAGAATTCAATCAAACATTTTTTCCGTGTATGGTTTTGTAAGTTAACTTTTCAAAATAAATTAAAAAATTTATATTAATTATATATTATTATATTATTACATACATTGCTTTAATGTTCTATAATATATATTCAAAAATTTAATGAAAGCAAGGACTCTACAAATTTAAAATAATAAAAAGTAATAAAGATTGTGGGAGTCAACGCAGTTAACAGTGCGATTATCTTATATTTATTAAATTTATTTCATAAACCTTGATGTAATTTCGATGAATTATATTATGGCTGCGCTCATCGAAATCACATCAAGGTTTATAG